CAGTAAATTTTTGCATTTTGCTTCTGCAAATGTGAGTGGTCAAACAAAGATCTTTTTCTCTCAGTATTGGTCTCTGAATATGAAGTCACTGATCTCGTGCAGGTCTGAATGTGGCTTCTTAAAATGCATGGGTAAATGGAATTTTCTTTTTCTTTAGGTTTTCTTTTGGATGCCATGTTCCCTTCCAATAGTGGTTATCGGTCTGCTGCAGGTGAAAATGAGTTTTGCAAGAAAACAGGCTCCGGTGGAAAAGATTCTATTATGCCAGAGGACAACTCAGGTAAAGAAGAGGAATTTATTTCAGTTCATGACTTCGATTGCCTTCCTCCTATTGGTACAATTGAACTGGTGATTCCTCAGTCCGAAAGAGAAAAGGGAAAAATGAAAATTGGCACTGGTGATAAGTCAGGCAAAAGTAGTGAGCAAGCTGCTAAGCCAAAGTGTGATTCCAAAATCAAATCTTCGGGAAAAAATTCCTCTTTAAGGATCAAGAAGTTTGGGAAGAAGCAATGGAAGAGTCTGGGGAAGAAACCTGGGGAGAAAAGTTAAGTATACTGCCCTTTAGGAAAAGGTCAAGATCATTCTATAACTGTTCTCTTTTCCGTGGTCTTAGCTATGTTGGATTTCAGGTTTTTTTTATTAAATGTGCTGCTTGTACTTGGTTCTGGTTTTTGGACTCCATTGATGGTGATCGATCAAACCATTAGTAATATTGTCTCAATGGTTGACTTGCTGTCTGATTATGTTGCCTGAGCTTAACATGTATTTATTGTGGTTTTGGTGATTCATATCATGAGATGATGACTTCTGGACCTGTCGTTGTCAGACTCAAAATGGACATGGTGGCTCTTTCTTTTCGTGAGTTATTTGGTTTCTCCATATTCTTCACCAAAAAAACAATGATGTCCTTGCTAAAACATCTGTGTGATTGGATCCTAGGATTACATATTTTATCCTATTTTGTTTTCATGACATTAGAACTTTTTTCTCTTCTAATCAAACATGTTTCTACTTCCTATTTTTTTAGGTAATATTAAATTGTAAGTTTATTATATTTTTAGTTCAATCGTAACTACTAAATTATCTTATTTTTAACTATCGGTGAGCCGGTGTTAGTTTTTCTCTTTTTTTTTTTTTTTTTTGTTTTCTTTTCAATTTTACTGATTTAAATTTCACTTTGATTTTTAATAAAATAAATCTCAGTTGAATTTTTTTTTCTTTTCTCAGTAAGAATTCTATTTTTTTTTTTGTCTTATTTTATTTTTCGTATCTTTTGTTCTTTTAAACAAAAGAATTTTTAAAGAAAAAAGAAAAAAAAGATTACTCCCTCTGATATTAACTTTAACCTATAGGAAGCCCTAGGATTCAGCAAAAAAAGGGAAAGTTCCCACGGCTTGTTCTTGATGCAAACAAGTCAGAAAATGTTACCAACCAGACAAAGCATGTATGTGTTTGTGTGTGTGTGTAGGCCAGCCCCCAAGAACAAAAACACTCCATATTTTATTGAATTATATAATTTTTTATTTTTTTTTTGTGGGTATTTTTTTTACTCGAAAATTAAAGTAAACGAATTTAATATAGAAAAGAATTCTGAATGATTAGTACTTTAAAAACACACAATAGTTTGTGTATGTGAGAGATCCCTACTTGTTTCTCCTCATACGAGACAGTACGCAATAATTAGTGCTTTTGATCCTGCCCAACAGTGCAGCTAAAACGAGCCTCTCTTGTAGCATATAGCCCAAGAGGGTCAATAATTTGGCAACAGCCCAGATCCTCCATCCCATTTCTACTCATAGTTTCAAATTCAAATTTATAATTTTATAAATAATTAATTATTTATATTCTAATAAAAACGAATGAAAGACGATGCATGTCAGAAACCAACAATTCCCATTTTCTATACCTGCCGGCTGATGTAACACTTCGACCCTAATGTTTGTAACAAGTTAATAGAAATACTTGGAAGAACATCCATGGCTGCATTAAAATCTGTTTTGTGGAGTAACTTTGATGTTTTACCAACCCAAATTCTATTTATATCTTCAATTTTGTAATTATAAAATTAAAATTTATATTTTTGCTAAAGATGTCTAATATATTTATATAAATAAATAATTATTTTAATATAATATGTATGTATTAATGTGTAATTTTACTACGTATGTAATACTTACTGATTTTATCTGTTAGAATTTGTGTGTGAGTGTCTGTACTCGTTGACAACATTAGAATTGGAACCCTTACATGTGCTAAAATAAATAAATAATAAATATATTCAATTTGAATCGAAGGTACGGTTTTTATTTCAATTGGTATTTTATTTATGATGTGTTATGTACTACTGGTCTGTCAATAATTTTAAAAAACTCAATGTAATTATTAATTGATAAAGAATATTTTTATGACAGGAAATAATAATAATATAATCTTAAAAAATTCTGCGGCGCCCAAGACATTATAATTATTTGTTACTATTTATATATTATCCATTTCTATTATTAGTAATGCAACCAAATTGTCATCTGTTCATCCGTCAGCCGATTAAGAAAACACCAAAATCCAAAAAAAATGGAACTTAATTACTCTCTCTCTCTCTGCCGGTTTCCGTGTTAAATTTTATAAATATTTACTCGTAGCTACTTCTGCAAGCCTTCAATCATCCACCGATCGACGAGAAATGAACCCCCGGCGTTTCTGAGCTCTACCTCTCTCACAGTCTCACTTCTTAGTTTGGTTGCCGAGAAAACGGTGGAAAGGAAAATTGGTTCTATTATTATTTTTTCTCTGCTTATTACTGTTTCCATCGCTGACGATTGGTCAAAGAGATATCTGCCTAGATTGAAAGACGTCGTAGTTCCTGTCTTCATTTGCATATATTTGAGATATAAGCTGGAATTTCTTCCCTGTGTTCCCCTTGAGTTCTTTCCCTGTTGCTTTAGATCTTTAAACAAGTTATTGTGTGGCTGGATACCGAATATGCTAGGGTTTATAGAGTCCCGAATTTTACTGTTGACATCCATATTTGTTTTATTTAGTTTATTTATTGGCATAAAAACCTATTTAGGATAATCATGTCTCTATTTATGCTGTAGTTTCTTTCTTTTTGATTCGTTACTTGCTATTTCCTAAAAATGGCACTATTGGATTTGGCACTGTAATTGATAATATTTTCTCGTGTACTAATTATTGGAGTTAAAACAAGAATCTGGTACGAAATGGAATTTCATTTATGTTCCAGTACAATTTTCTGGAAATAGTGTTATGTTGTTGTTTTTGATTGATAGGATATGCAAGCTACCAGTATATGAAATATTAAAGGATTTTAGTTTCTAATCGCCAAAGTTTTCCCCAAGTTTGTACTTCCGATACACTTTTTTATTAGCAACATGAAGAATTCAATGAGTCTTACTGGTTTGCACTATAATATGCTTAGATTAACTTACATACTGAAATTAGAAGAAGCAAAGGCTCCTAGATAATGAAGGCATCGTGTTTTCAAGCTAGAGACAAGATGTTTAAAGAAGTGTCTTTTCACCAAACTAGCAAAAGGTTAAAAAATAATGGTCCTACAACAAATCATTTTTATTATAGTTCCTTTATGTTTGGTACTTTGTTTCATAAAAATTTATCAGATAGATTATTTTAATAAAAACTTAATTTGTTTTATCTTTTTAGCATCCATGGAAACCTTTATAGGACATTGTGGAATGGAAGAACTATATATTCTATGGATGCACAAAGAACAAGTCGAGATTATGGAACTGGTTTTACTTTTTGGGCCTCCTCTATAGAGAATCCTGACAAGAACATTGAAAATGATTAACTATAGAGAAATGCCCTAATTGATCTTGAATGAGTTTCTTATTATTTCTCTTATGCTATCTAGAATGAAAATAGAGGTATAATAAGCCGTCATTTGGTTGGTAGGTGAGGTAGGTTGGTCGATATGCGAAAATATTTCATGATATCTCATATGTTTGTGTCTTACAATTTAGTTACAGCAGTTGGCCTATTGAGGCACGGGGAGTTTCCACTGACAAGCATTCTTGAGTAGCATGTTTTTTGGCACTAAATTCCCGGGAAGAAGGTATTTATCTTTCAATCTTTTGACTAGGCTTTATGATTTTTGGTCCAAGGAAGTGATAATGGATCAATTGGACAAAAAAGTTGGATTTTATGATAAGAATCACTACTTTGATAAACTGATAAACGTATCACTTACCATAAGCAATTTTTTAATATTCGAAATGGCTTTCAATAATATACAATCTGGACAGATGGGTGAATGATTATACATTTCAAAGAGTTCAATGTAGTGTGGCTTCTATGTCTTTAGGTCTATTACCTTTTTGTAAATGGCATATTATGTCTGTGCAAAAGGTTTCTCATTATAACTTGTACCTGGCCTTTATAAACTTCTTTGTTCTCTACTCAAAAGAAAAAGACCCTTATGATTACATATGTGTCAGTGTTTATTTTTGGATGGGCTTTCGTGTTCTGTTTCTTCTGTGTGCCAGTCTCCAGGAACATCAAGATGACTGATTAGCTGACAAGTTCTCTTGACTGTTAGGGAATGACTAATTTAATTTAAAAGCATATCTGGTTTAATTGATTAACTCTGCGAATGAGTGTCGTAGTTCCCTATAGCCAAAGGGGTCACTACCAATTGAGTTAAAGATTTGCATTTCTTTGAAGGTCAATTATATGATTGAAAAAAGAAAAGAAAAATTGTCAATTTATCCTGCCTATTCTCTTCTCTCCAAAGATGAGAACGTCAGGTATATTGTTCTAAGAGGGTGTAATAAGAGGATGACATGCCTAAAAGAGTTGATATTACCTGAAATGGATAATAGTATTAAATGGTAGTCTTACATATTTTTTTCGGTGTATTAGTTTGGGTTTTCCAGTTTGGTTCTTGCCCTTCAATTTGAAAATTTCCAATATTTGCATGTATAATCCATCACAATAAGGATTTAAATCAAACTGTACTCAATAATCTTCTCCAGGAAGGATAATGAGCTACTCGTGGGAAAGCTGAGCTGCCTTTCCATTATGGAAAAACCGTTTGTTTTGAGTTATTGGTTTGCCTTCACCATCTAGCCAAATTATATTTTTTTTAGAAAAAATTATTTATCGACTCTACCATTGTCTTAGAAAAATTAAAATATATATAAAAAAGCACTCTGAGGTAGAAGGAATCAATTCCTCAACCTTTTTGGCACGTTTAAGGTATACAATTGTAACATGTGGTGGTTGTTGGAACACGTGGCGGTATGAGCTTTGTTTTCTTTATGCATTTCCTTTATAAACCTTGTTATTAACACAAACCTAGGTCTAAACATCTTCACCGCAGTGGAGAAAGTTACCATTTTCTGGCATGGCAGGTCGAAAGTCATCAGCTCTAATCCCTGAGCGCTGGAAATTGGTCACTGAAAGCCAGCCAGACGGGTCAAAACTTTCGGTATTAAGCACATATTCTTTGTCTATCTGCCTATTTGTTTTCTTTAGGTTTCTTTCGTCAAAGATGGGATATATGTGGAGGAGTCACTTCTCTCAGATCTTTGCCTACATTAGTTTGATATCTACCTAATAGATTTAGTATTTTGTTGGCAGATTGATATAGCAAATTTGATTTCGAGCCCATAATTAATGTTTGGTAGCAAACTGATATAGCTGATTCGATTGTCTTTATAGACCATCTTACCCGAACAATTTCAGTTATATGCTTTTAATTATGATTTGTATCTTGCATCTAGTTAATCTTTGGTAGTAATGTATTTGGGGGCATGACTTTTAAGTGAGAGTGACTTTAAATTCTTGTTTTGGCTTAAACCAACAAAAATTTGATATGTGCCCTAGAAAGATCTTCTTGTTTTGTAGTTGTCCTTTACAAAATGCCAAGGAGCTGTTTAGTTGTTTATTCACAGAAGAATCATGTTTACTTATCGAAGCCTTTTATTTTTCAAATTGACAGATTGTTTTGTACCAAACATCAAGTAGTTTATAAAAAATGGAAACAAGACTAGGAAAATACAGCATGAGTTTGAAAAGAACAAAATTTGTTTGTGAATCATGACATATTTTACTATCATTCTCCAAATCGTATTTTCAGTTTACTGTCTTTTCATAAGAGAACATATTTGGATTTCGAAAATGAAAATGAAAAATTCTTTGGAAACTAAACAACACCTAAGATGCCCAATGTGCATTTGAGCAGTTGAAGTTGTTTCATAAAAGTCTTTGACCCTTCGAGGTTGGTGACTTCAGTGCTAATATTCTTATCAAAGCTTATTTTAATATTTCCATGTTTATCCCTTGTAATCAGTTCTATTGCTTGAAATTGACATTTTGGGTTATTTTCTCACCTTTTAGACTCTTCTAAGATAGTATCCTTTAGCTTATTTACCTCTTTTCCCTCCTAATCAAATTACAAAAAATGAAAAAGAGGCAGTTGGTCAATCTCTTGTCATTCGAATGCAGTAACTTGATCAATGTGGCAATATGAGAAGTGTTAATGAACTTGAAAGTGCTATTTTGATTATAGATCCTAAATATCAAAATGTTGTTCAACCTTAAAAAAGGGCAAATGCTAGGTATTCAATTTTGTCATCTTAGTACTTGCAATTTTTTGCTCTGGTGAAAGATGATAATGATCCGGGTGGTACCAGCCTTCAGAATGTTTGCTGATGGATTAAAAATTAAAAGTAAGGCTTCCATCCTTTCATGTCTCTTATGGCACTCATAAGTTTGTTGTTGGATAAATTCTATGCATCATGAATGTAGTCCTAGGTGTGTTGCTCAGGATCTTGATAATAACATCTTTTTGCATTTGAGGGATCTTTGAATTTAAGATAATCCAGTGGATTTAGGCAGTTCTAATATTTGGACACTGATATTCTCTGATGTCTTACAATCAAAAGTTGATGAACAACCTTTACAATGTCCCCATTCTATGTTGTCGTGAGTATTCAAGTTGCATTTAAATTTAACTTTCCTGACTTATTATTTGCCATTACGAGGATAACATGAAAGAGTTTAATTTGATTTTTTAGAGCTATGTTTCTTAAAATTGAATATGGAACAAAGAGAGTAATATGATAATCTTTTGGTGAGAGAGGAGACATGGGCATGGGGTGGGCTGGATAACAAGAAATTATATGTAAAATTAATTTCATTGATGATTTTTTGGGTCATTTGGAAAGAAAAGAATTTATGAGTTTTTGAGGGGAAAGAGTTTAGGTCTTGTAGGTTGAAAGATAGATGGTATAATTATTTTGGATCTTTTATGTTGAGACATGACATTATTAAGGACGATAATTTTGGGAATGTCATTGATATCCTAACTCAGTTATAAATCTTTTGTATGCGGGTGGTACCTCTTTAGTACCTTGTTAATACATACCGTACTCTTTTTATCCCAAAAAAATGATAATCTTAAATTCCTTCATCACTTGCAATCTCCTTCCTTCGCACTTAAGTTATGTATTTCTATTATTTTTTAACTAGAAGTAGATTAACATTTGAATTGATAGGTGTCTGAAAATGTCCATCTGGCCATGTATCTTTGTAAGTGATGTGTCCTTTAATTATCATGAGCACTAGCTATTTAGTCAAAACCCAAATATTTAAAAGATGATCAGCAAAAATAATTGTTGCTTCTTCATTATGATTGATGCACTTCCAAATAGTTGGCCTTCATGGAAATGAAAAGTTTGTTAGATGTTTCAATGTGGATTCAAGTTCTTCTGGACTTCTCTATTTTTGTGCTTGAACTTGTACGCCATAGATAGAAGGCATAGCATCATTTGGACAATCCTTTGATCTTGCATTTGTTGGATATGAAATGTTTGTCTATTAGACTATTGGCCAAGTTTTTTTCCCTTGGTTCAAGGAAACAACAGGAAATTTTGCTAACAAAATATAATATAGATCTTATTAAATGTCTATAAAGTTAACAACTTTTCCTGGTAGTTTTATTGATACATTATCATAATGTTTGGCTACTGCAGTACTATCTGTGTCCAGAAAGTGGACAACAATTTAATACATATGAAGATCTAATCCGTTATGTCAACTATGCTAAAGAGGCTGAGCTCTCCATCTATTCACCTGTGAGTTTGGACTTCATTGTGTCCTGCATGGTGTTTTTAGTTTATCAATTCCTCATTTCGGCCCAAGTATTAAGAGATGGTATTAGAACATAAACATTGTATCTAAATTAAAAACAGTTATCGAAGTGCCATGATGATTTAGTTCATCAAGTCTAAGTTTATGTAAAGAATTACATAAACATTTATTGATCACATCTTTGAAATGGACTAAGATGTTGTTCTTGTTCTTTTGATTTTTGTTTCCTTAATTTCTTTTACTTGTTTTTTGCATTATTTACATGGATTCTCAAGGAGATTGTTTTTTGGGGGTAGGGCATCGTTTGTCATCATGAGTAATTCGACTGAAGGATTTTTTTTTGAAATCATAACTCCCAGGGTAATCAACATCAGTTTCCCCTTCAAGTCATTACACTGTAGTAGTTTCCGTGCTTCACAACTGGTGACTCCGGGCGCACATCCTGTGTATCGCCCTTGGAAGTGAAGGATAACAAATATGCTAGGGGAAAAAAAGAAAATCTTAACCCTCTTAAATTTGTTTTTTCTTGTGCTAGTTGTATTTAGGACTCCTGAAGTTGATAGTCACAAGCATTGCTTCAAGTATGACAAATTATTCTGCGTTTTTTTGGTCAAATGGATCTTGTGATTTTCTTAGAAATGGTTAGGTGTAGATCATATCTGGTGTCTATCTTGACCTTGCTAGGGAGATTTTAGAGATGTCCTCACTTGAGAAGTTCCTTTCACAATTTACAAATTCTTATCCTAGCCTGTCCTAAGTGTTGATCTGCATAGTGAATTAATAATTGACCTTGAAAGGTATCTTGCTTGGTTCTTCATAGTCCTTGGGCTTTCAACCAACTGGTAAAGAATAGATTGTAATCTTCTTGAACTATTTGGAGGAAAGCAAATCAATATGCATTTCTTCATGGGTGAAGTCTTGTCTTTGTAGAGATTAAGAGCAAGGCAGTTGATCTTTATATGGCTGGTTTGGTCTGCCTTCCTGATTTTCAAGAAACAATTCAAGCTCTTCTTTTCATGAAGACAACTGGATTATATTTTCATAATCTTCAGACTTTCATTCTAGGGTCTGCTATGAAAGGGTTTGACAATTTTGCTGTCAATCTAACTTCTAATCTTTTATTCTTAGTCTAGTATTTAATCCAAAGATTAATATTGTTGAATTAATGTAAAAATTATAATTTATTTTATTTATTAATTTAAATTCAAATAAAGGTTATCTTTTAATTAGATTTAGTTCATATTTATTTTTTAAATATCATGTAATTAGTAGGAGTTTCTCTTTTAGGAAATTTGATTTATATTTATCTTTTCTATTGAGATAGATTATTTTTAGAATTAAATGTAAATATATTTAAAATTTGAAGTTGTTAACTTTTGAGTTAATGAAATTAATGGAAATTTAAGTTTTCTTCACCTAAAAAAAAAACCCCAATAAGTGGTATAGTCTTTTTTACTTATGGGTCTGTAAATATATATATATATATATATAGAGAGAGAAAAAAAAAAAAACAAGTGAATTCCATACATCAAATATAATTTTAAACACTTTTTTTTTGACTTTATCTCTCATTTTTATGGGAGAAAATTATTAATTATAAGCTGTGAAAAATACAAACATATGTACAATCTTTTGATTTGTGAGATATAGCATATACAAAAAAAAAATTTCAAATTGAATAATGAGCAAGCAAATTGGAGAGAAGTGCTCTAAGAGATTTTGATGATAAGTGCATCAAATAATTGAATATTGATAAAAATGCATCAATAATCGGAGATTTATGAGAAGTGTATCAACAATTGAAGAGAACTACTTGAAAATATGAAATAAGGCATATTGAAAAAAAGTGTTCCAACAAGATAAATTTGGTGCTTATAATTTCTACATTAAGAGAAAGTGTTGAAAATTAATGTAAGAATTATAATTTATTTTATTTATTAATTGAATTCAAATAGGTTTTATCTTTTAATTAGATTTAGTTTATATTTATTTTTTAAATATCATGTAATTAGTGAGAGTTTATCTTTTAGAAGATTTGATTTATGATTATCGTTTAGATTGCGATAGATTATTTTTAAGATTATATGTAAATCTATTTAAAGGCATTTAAAGTTGTTAACTTTTGAATTAGTGAAGTTAATGAAAATTTAAGTTTTCTTTACTTGAAAAAATCCCAACAGATATGTTGTGTGAAGCTTGCTCTAGTGAACAAGCCATTTGAGGAATGTTTACTTTATGTCAAGGTTACTATAAAGTAGTAACCAAAATATCTTTTCTGTTTTTGGTATGTTAGAAGCTGTCATGGATGGCAACATTGTAACTTGTTATTTAAGGTTTTCTAATGAAGTAAGAATCAGTTTTTATCTCAATTTTCTCTTTTTCTCGTCTTGTTTATACGACCAAACAATGTTATTAGAGCTTCTATATCTTAGCAGACCAAGAGAGAGAGAGTTTTTGCTGCACTAATTCACCAAACATCAACAGATTGCTTCAAATGGCATCAGGCACTTTAGGAAATGTTCTCCATCTGTTTTAAATGAAGAAAACTATCAGGTTTGAGCTGATACAATAAAGGTTCTTCTAAACAGAATGAACCTATGGAAAGCTGTGGAAGTTGGAGAGAATCCTCCTTTACGAGCCAACTCAACCCAGTGCAGCCGTGACTCAAATAATATGAGGAGGAAATGGCAATGAAATTCGAGGTCCTTTCCTTTCAGACACGGACATTGCAATATATAGTCTCTAGAGGACCAATATAGGAAAAAATCGGTAGAAAATATGGCCATCTTAAGGAGTTATCTAGGGTTTGTGAGGTTTGTAAGCTTGGGAAGCAAAACAAACAAGTTTTCCTAAAGAATCAAGCATGGAGAGCAACAAAAAATTGTGGCTCATCCATACTGATCTATGTAACCCCGTTAGTATTAGTTCCTTGAGGGGAAACAAATTCTTTTTCACATTTATAAATGACTTCACTAGATTCTTTTTTCTGCATCTTTAAAAGCAAAAGGCAAAAGCATTTGAAGTGTTAGAAGCTTTAAGATGTTGGTGGAAATCAGTGTGATGAGAAGATAAAAACATTGAGGTCCGGTGACGGCACCAAGTATGCAAATGACAGGTTCAAGAGATTCTGTGAGGGTGCTGGAATTCGACACTGAGTCATTATTCTTACAACTCTCAGCAAAATGTGTTAAGTGAAAATAAGAATAGAACCATCATGGAAATAACAAGATATCTCATATTTAATAAGAAGCTACCAAAAATGTGGCTGTGTACCTGTTGAATTGATTGCCTCCAGAAGTCCTAAAAGATAAGACTCTTTATGAAACTTGGCATGGGACGGAACCAACCGCAGAACACTTAAAAGTTTTCGGGAGTATCTGTCATGTGCATGTTCCAAATGCCTAGTGGAATAAGTTACTAGCAAAGAAACACGAATTGGCATTTGCTGGGAAGTAAGGACACTGCCAGAGGCTCTAGGGTTTAAGACCTCCAATCCAAGAAGGCGACGGTGGCAAGAAATGTGATGGTATACGAAGGAGCAGAGGTTGGAATTGGGACAAAACTGAGGTTGAGGTCTCAAGTGATCAACCTATGTTAAGGGATAATGAAGAAAAGTCAAGTGCATTATTGAGGAAGAGAGTTCAAGTTCTGATAATGAATCTGACCATGATTTTGTTGTGAGAGGAATAAGGTCTTTGTAAGGTAAGATGTAATGTTACTTTAATGAAACCAGTCAAGCTTGAAGAAACATCTAAGTTGCCTGCATGAGAAGCTGTTATGGAGGACTAAAGATAAGAAGAAGACTTGGATACTAACTGCTTGGTATACTAATAAGAAAGTAATTGGGTTGAAGCGGGTGTTTAAGACCAAGCAAAATCCCGATTGTTATATTAACAAATCAAAAGTAAAGCTTGTTGTGAAGGGTACTATCAACAATTTGAATAGAATTTACCAATAATTTTGCATTAGTGGCAAGTTATGACACAGTTACACTTATCATTAGGTCGGCAACACAAAAGGGCTAGGAAATATACCATCTCGATATGAAGTTTATTTTCTGAATGACCAGTTGAAGGAGATTTTTGTTGAGCAATCATCTGGATTTGAAGTTGAAGAATGTAAAGACACTATGTTTGTTGAAAAAGATCATGTATAAGTTGAGCGAATTCAAAAGCCTGGTGTACAGTAGGATTAATAATTGTTTGTCTCAATGGAGTGCAACAGACACCAATTTTTAAGCTACTTTGTATGTCCAACAAGTAAACAAACATGTCTTGATCATATCACTTTATGTTGGTGATCTCCTCGTGACTTGAAACAACAAGGTTTGATGGATAATTCAAGCAAACATACAGAAGATTTTTGAACTAATAAATTTGGGAGAGATGTCCTATTTGTTGACTATCATATTTTATTATTTTATGAGTTTATTATTTAATTAATTACGATGATATAATTAGAATTCTAGTATAATAGTGTTCTCCTGTAATTATAATTTTAGTAGAATAGTATTTTTCTTATTAGTAAATTATGAATTTTATAAATACGCTAAGTATAATAATATAAAGGGTGAGAAATAAAATTATTTTTTTTTCTTCAAAATCAACATTATATCAAAGACAAATAAAATTATTTTAATATTTTAATTTTAGGATTTCCTTCAAACCCTAAAATAGCACAATAGCTTGAGTTGGTATTCAATTATTCATATCTACTCTCATCACCACCCCAGACCATTGAGACTCATCGGAGGCAGCATCATCCGGTGAAGAAGACAAAGTGGTACGTGGCATTCGATCAATAGAGATGTAACGACCCCATAAATCCAAAAGAAAATATATAATAACTTATGTACGGAAGCAAAATAAAAGGTTAAGATTTACATTCCTTATGTAACGGCCCCAGAAATTTAAAATAAAATGTATATTAAAAATATCAAATGCGGAAGCGAAGTCAAAAATTCGATTAACATCTCTTATACTAAAACGAAAAACGTGCTCACAATATAAAAGATCAAACTACCTAAATGAGAAACTTGAAAGTAAAAGCTACGAGTCTTTAGGCGTCCCCTTCGTCGTCCTCATGCGGAACCGGCTCGGGAACAATGTCTTCCTGATCTGAAATGATTAAATAAGGAATGAGCTACACTAGCCCAGTAAGAACATCACGATATCTCACCGTCACGGAGGTAAAGGTGGGTAGAAAACACAAAAAGAC